TAAACTTTACTGAAAAATGTTATTGCTTTCTTAAATTTATACAGGGGTACCAAAAATTGCTGATCTATTTTAAGGATTTATTTTTTATAAAAACGTTGTTATTTCAAATGCTATACCCTGTATTTTTTAAATAAATCGAAGCAGATTCAAATGGTCTTGGTCCAAACTATATTGGGGTTTTGACCAGCGTTTGACCAGAGTTCAGACCAGCAATTTTTGATACCCCTGTATACATTTAAGGAAGCAATAAAAATGTTTAATAAAGTTTATTTCTCTGGCTTAAAAGTAAGCACATGAATTAATTCTGAAAAGTAACATACCCTCTATGTTACTTTTCAGAATTAATTCATGTGCTTACTTTTAAGCCATAACAAACTGTGACAAACTTTTTTATTATAATATGCATATTTAAGTATCTCAAAAACCAAAGCTTTTAAACATATTAAACCCTTATAATAAATACCTTATTTTATGCCCAAGAATCCAAAAATAAAATACCGGGTGTTCCATAAGAAAAAATATAACTTTGGTATGGATCTTCGTTCTGACACCTCCTGTACATTTGAAAATAATTTTAAATGATGCACATTGCCTCTCCACATATGCCCATAAAAATTTGTGTTTCTACATCTTTCCGTTTTCGTATATTCAAGGGAACAAAAGCCATGGCCAATACGGCCAAGCGTAACAAAATTAACCAAGCAAATCAAAACCATTGGAGCGCAACAATTAATAAAAGAGACTAAAGCAATCGGAACAGAGAACTAGAAGAAATGGGTACATACCATATGGGAAGACATCATACCAAAGAATATTTTAATCATACTAAAAAATATTTAGTGCACTTTTAAACTGTTATTACTATATTCATTTTTTTACAGATAACGAATAAGAACCAAAGAATTACCACACACCGAAAATGGCCTCAAACGACAAAATATCTCGTAGTGTTGCTTTGGAACAGACATACGTTCACGACGTTTATGAGCAATACTATGATAATCCTCGAAGTAAGCCGTGGCCGAAAATTAAAGAATTTTTATCGGGACTGGAACCGGGGTCTATTGTGTGCGATGTCGGTAAGTAAACCTTATTTATTTCAGATTTATCATTTTACAATATTAACGAATCATTCATATATACTGTATGATCGAAAAAAAACGGCGTCCAATTGGCTGGGAAATGACGATCGATGACATTTCCCATATACATTTACATTTAAAATGACAGCGATCTTCATTTCATAGCCATCGCTGGATCATACGGTATAACGAAATCGTTGCATAGACCTCCATTTTATTGTTTTTAAGAAGAATTGAATATCACTTCCGGTTGAACCTAAATCATCATCATCATTTTCAGCTTATTCAACCATTTCTAAATATGGTGTAGCCTCCCTCACGTATTTAGATGCTCTCTTTGTAATTGGACCCATTGTTGTCTATTGTTGACTACGCGGGCCCAAGATATCCCTGCTAATTTCCTAATATCATGGTCCCATCTCAAGTTCGGTCTTCTTTTAGGTCTCTTAATTCCTCGTGGGTACCATGCTGTAATTTTTGTAGTCCACCTGTTGTCCGTCCTTCTTACCAGGTGTCCTGCCCATTGCCAATTGAGAGATTTCACTCTGTGGATGACATCTATTGCCTGGGCTTTTTGTCGTATCCACTCTATTTTTTACGGTCTTTCTGGGGACAACCACCAGCATATTTCGTTCTATTAGCATTGTTCTACCTGCAGTTTCCTTATAATGCCCGTTTTAAGTGTCCAGGTTTTGCATGCATGTCATGAGTAGTAGCAAAGAATATTATAGTTAACACAATAGAAAACCCATCCCGTGTAAAATTTTTGGAACCAAAAGGAGCTCGGCTTTTTGAGCCGGGATCCATCGAGGCGCCGCAACGTTAAAAAGCGATTCCTTCCTTGTCTATGTTGCCAAATCGTACGCCAAATGCTACCGGCACACGCGGCGGCCCGACGGCGATCACCAAAGCCTTCCGTATTCCCCCGCACCTCGATGTGAAGGCTTCGTGGTGTGCTCATTTTTTATATTTTGAATTGTGGATTTTGCTTTATTATTTTGAGTTATTATATTTTGATTTAAGTTTTCGCGTTTTAAAAACATGTCGGACAATGTATGTCAATATTATAATTGCAGACTATCAAGGAGGGACAATCCTAATTTAAAAATGTTTAGGTTCCCCTATAAAAATCGAATTATATGCGAACGTTGGATTTTAAATTCGGGTAAGCAGAGGCGTGACTGAATATTATGCTGGATATCTTCTAAAAAAAATGCAAGATAAATTTAATTGTTTAGAGTGCAGTTCAAAATTTCACAACCAAGACCTTATTGCTCATCAACTTGATCCAAAAAAAACTTTTTACTGAACAAAAATTATGAGGTGGACAGACTTTTCCTAATTGTGCCATGTACAGAAATTTCGAACTTAATCCAAAAGATGTTTATTTTGTCGAAAAAATATTTTAATGAATATAAAGAACAAGAATATTTAGGTATTAAAATAAAAAGCAAAATTATTGCGAAAAGTGAGATTTCGATTTGGTTAGGTAGTAAGGAAAAAACATGCTACCCACACAAACTTTTTTTAATTGAATTATTTAATTATGATGGTGCCCGGTGGCGTAGAGGTACAGGCTCTCGTCTACCAATCTCAAGGTGTGGGTTCGAATCCCACACCCGGCATTTCATCAGCCGACTATTTTTATTAAAATAAAAATAGTTTGGGTACCTAGGTCGACTCAGCCTTTAAATGAGTACTTGGGATTCACAATCCTGAGGTAATAATAGGCGGTTGAAGCGTAGTGCTAGCCACACTACCTTCCTTGTATACCGAACGGCTCTAGTATGGCAAGCTGTAACTTGCTACTCCCAAGGCGTTAAACACTATACACAGGAGCTATTATTACTAATTATTTAATTATTACTAATATCTTCAAATTTTGCAAATGGGAAGAAGTTAAAAAAATTGACAAACAAAAACTAAAAGGTTTAAAAAACAAGTAGAATTTTAGCATATCTACCCTACAGAAATAACTATTTTACTAGTTCATTTGAGCTCGTTATTGAGATATTTTAGGGCCTTTTTTGTGATGGTTCTGCGTAAAAATAAGATTAATTTTTCATATCAACATAGGTCCAATTCCGCTTCGTAGCTACAGGGTGTTAAATCTTAATATATTTTCGATTTATTATAATTTTCTTATATTATTTCTTTCCATGTACTTTTTGGCGTTTTGAATGAAAAAAATTTTCAGGGTAATATTTACTATTACAGTTGAGGGTTGGAACCTTTGGTGTTACACAGCAAAATAAAAACACTAAATCACCACAACTGCCAGTTTATAATCATCTGCTGATGATGCTAACATGGTTAGCGAAACGCGCGTCCAGTGTAAAAGTAAAAGTGTTTTGGTGTATTGTGGTGATTTAGTGTTTTTATTTTGTAATATTTACTATAAATGCGACATATTTTAAAGCCAAAAAAGTGTGGACATATTCACCAGGGACGTGCATATGGGTTATCACTGAAATATTTTCTTAAAAAATCATGTACGCCACTGACTTTTTTTCTCTTGTTAGCGAAATAGTGTACGTAGTTTAATGCCGATTAAAAGTTCTCTCTTGATATTTTGTCGATTTCGGCCTCCTTGATGAGATAAACGCAAAACGATATCCTCATCAAAAAATATGAAAAAAAGTTCCTATAAACATGGGTATGGAATTGCATAGTTTTAGAGTTACAGGATGTTAATTTTTTTTTAAATTAGGTTTTTTGTTGTTATCTTAATAACCAATATTTTTTTATTTGAAATTGCTGTATGTTGGATTAGTTTGATGTATTATTACTAGTCGAATAATGACATAGTAATAATATTTAATTAATAATATTAAATTTATTAATTTTTTATTTTTATGTTAATTTTATTAATTATTGTGATTAATAAAATTGCGTTTATCTCATTAAGGAGGTCGAATTGGACAAAATATCAAGAGATGCCTTTTAATTGGCATTAAATGGCCTACACAGTTTTGATATAAAAAAAGTCAGAGGCGCACATGTTTTTTTGCACGTCCCTGATGAATTTATTGGCGCTTTTTTAGCATTAAAATATGTAACACTTATAGTAACTTTTACCCCAAAAATTTAATTCAAATAACTAAAAGTACTTGAAAGAAAATTATAATAAATCGAAAGATTATTAAGACTTTAACACCCAGTAGCTACGAAACAAAGCAGAATCGGACCTATGTTGATACGAAAAATAAGTCTTATTTTTATGTGAGGAATCTCCCCACAAGAGATGGCACATGTTTTTTAAAACACCCTGTATAGTACATTTTTATTCGGTTATAAAAATTAAATGTATCACACATGTTCTTTCTTTAACAGTTTTATCGAAATTCGAAAAAATTATAAATCAATGTTAATTTGTTTCAAGTTCGGTAGTTTTTAAAGAGACACCCTGTATATTTTTTTATTTTATTTGCCTTGTTATGAGCTTTCTACAAATATAATATATTTATTTTCACAAACAAGGTAAAAATGCATTTTTTAACTTTTAACATGAATAAACTTGTTTAAAAGAGTATTATTATTTTATTTTATTTAATCAGATAATTATGCTTTCCACGGTGTTATCTTAATAAACTGCACTGAAAATGAACTTGTGTAATACGGCTGTCAATACGGCTTGCATAACACGGCATAATCTATATTTATTTATAAAAATAAATATAGATTACCTAAATTATATTTTTAGAAATCCCATAGGAAGGCAAATCAAACGAAAAAATAATAAAATACTAAATAGTGAAAACATCATCTTTGTACCTCTACTCATAAATGAGAAACCCTGCAAAACACACGAAAATGGGACACTCTGTATATAGGTACTATAAATATCAAAATGAAAAATAAATAAATTTTTTTCTCCTCTATAAATCAATATATTTAAAACTTCTTTTCATTTAACTAATTTTTAGATTTGACTCGACAAATTTTTATTTTGTTTCTTTGATTGTCAAATGTTGTTATGTAGCTTTTTGTAAAAATGAGTGTTGTCTATTAAAATATGTTTAGTTTTATTTTTTTTTATTTCAAGTTAACTTGTATCAAATTTCCAAAAAAATTTTAAAGATAAATGCTAAATTCAATATAATTTTCTAACTAAATAGATGTCTTACAGTTATTGGCAACGCCGCGTCTCGTTCACAAGGGTTTCCGCACGAAATAATAAAGTTTACGTGTGCATTGATGTCTTTTGGCCGGTTCCAGCCGTCCCATTTACGTGGGTTATCTATTCGTAGTAGAATTATCTTTGGTAGTAGTATATTGGTCCAATGTGTTCTTCTTTAGATAGAGTGGTTTCTTCCATAAGTACTACATGCTAACTTAATTCTTTTGTTGATTTCTGGTAGTAGAGATTCCGAGCTGAGTATTAGTTGTCCCAAATATACAGGGTGTTTCAAAACAAATGCGAAAAACTTCAGGGGCGATCCCTTGTTCAAAATAAAGGGTAGTTTGCTTCATAAACATTGGGTCAAAAGTCAACCATTAGGGAGATATCGCGGTACAAAAATGGCGGAAAAATAATGTTTTTATTCTTTATCTTGAAAACAAAAAGAGTTAGACTAATAAAATTTTATGGGGGCATTACCGTTATGAAAACACACTTTCTGGTAATTTTTCACTTTTTTAAAATGAGTGGAACGAGTTGGAATAAACTACCCATATCATTCTTGTTAACGAAATTTAAAGAAAACTCTTATCAAACACATGCAAAAAAATTCATTTGGATAGCTTGGTTTGTTTAAACACTTTTTTATCTCTTGTGTTTCTTTGATAAAACTCGCCGATTTGAAATTAAAAAATAAAATGTAAAGCATTACATGTCAGGATAAAAAAACACTTTTAGATAAAGAATCTAGTGATAATAACGATAACAATAAGAATCTAGATAATAACGTATTGCAGTAGAGTAATGCCAATAAAATAATATTAGAAACATTCTAAAAAGTGACCGCGGCCGACTAGATTTTTTCCCCAAAAAAATA